AAACCCAAGAACATATGTATCTTATCCCTTTTGAAAGTTTCTGCTCCCCCCTTTTTCCTCAACAGCCCAAGTACAGCTTCTACATCAAGTCCTTGCCGTAACTGTCTGGTCCATTGGCAATGGCCTTGCCCTCCACAAGTCACAGAAACTACTGTTGCTAAATGGAAGTCACAGTGGTCCTAATAACAAAATCCAGTCACCTCACTCTTTTAAATCTTATGTACCAGCAGCCATTGTCTTGAATCCTAGAATGGGCAGTCTGGTTTTACTTGTCTGGTCTCCTCCATCCAAATGTTAAATTTTACTCTTCCTCAGGGTTGTCATTTTTTTCCCCTCACATATCAGAAGTCTTTGCTTTGTCATCCCCGTCTGAATCCAAATAATAAGAAAAAGAGACCCAGTTTAGAAGCATATTAGCACAATTTTTCTATTCATGGCATGTACAAGTTCAAAATATCACAAGAAATCATCTAAGATCTTATTCCTTTCAAAATAAATTTGCCTCAGTTGGTGAATTTTACATATGAAGGTCATTACAAACAAGAAGTTTTGGGCAGAGGAGCAGAAAAAAAATTAATATTTTTCAAAAAATTTTCACGTGTGGTTTGGGAGCAAGTAAACTGTTAATAGTTTACATTTAGGTGGTGGGTGTGGAGCATATTATTTGAATTTATAGAACATTTTGGCATTTTACAATTCAGTTCTGTTTTGGACAAGCTGGCTTCATCAATAACAAATTGGAACAAGTGCAGTACTGTTGCAGTAAGCACACTTGCAGCGAAAGATATATATATATAACTCTGTGAGGGACTAAGTTTAGTTACTAACAATATTAAGCTGACTACTAGATTTGTAGCTATGCTACTTGTCTTAGAAGAAGCATTTGAGACCAAAAGGAGTTTTAAGTAACTTTATTTTCTAAAAATCCGTCCTGCAAATATGTTTTTTTCTCTACATGGTCACTAATTTAAAAGCGAATAGAAATAAAGACAAAGCTTATGTCGATACAGGTTAAGAGTCAGTCAAATTCAGCTCTTAAAGAGTTAAGGTCAACCAGGAGGAGTTCTGCACTTGGCCGCTGCAAAGCCCTGGCCCTCCAGCAGCATTGGATGATCTTCTCAAGTCTTTTCCCAGAGATGGAGTCAGTGAAGACAGCTGCTGACAGAGCCGGCCGGAGATTATAGGCCACCACGGCGTAGAGCACGTACTGCCGCTCCCCTGAGTAAGGCGCCTCCTTGGTAGCCATTTGCCAGAGAGTGATGGCAAAGGAGTAGATGTCAGCTTTGGGCGTTAGGGTCTCCCCTTTCAGGAGCTCTGGGGCTCGGTGGGTGTAGGTGCCCCCTAGGGGGTAAGGAGGGGTCTGGAAGCACAGCTGATCTTCCAGCTTCTCCGAGCAACCGAAGTCACCGATTTTGCAGACATCCTGCTCACTGATCAGAATGTTAGCCGGCTTCAGGTCCAAGTGTACAATGTTTTGCGAGTGAAGGAAAAGCAGGCCATTCACAATATCTAGGGAATACTTGAGACACTTTTCCAGATTTAATTGCTCTCCGGCACAGCAGTGAGGCTGCACATCCTCCTCGGGGCAGCTGGCGGCACCGTATATGGCTTGGTGTAAGGTGACATTGCCACCAAACTCCATGATTATGGTGCCTAGGCTGTTAAAGCCCGCAGGCGTGCGCGCGCTGGCAGCCACCACCCGCACGATGTTATCGTGGCGAAGCCTGGCGATGTTGAGCTCAGCCCAGAAACTGCGCTGGGACGCCAGTCGATTCTTGGTGCACTTGTTCACTAGCTTTATGGCCACCGGAACACCGTGGTAAGTGGCCTTGTACACCGAGCCAAACCCACCAGCTCCCAGCCTCTGCAGGAAGCACACCTGTTCCCAGTCGATGGAGCACCAGGCCAGCCGGCGTGGTAGCCGTGGTGCCCTGGGAGGAGTGCCACCCAGGGAGAGCTTTCCTGCCTTGCTTGGGAGCTCGGAAGGGCTGCTGCAGGGCCGCGAGTCCGCCGAGGGAGAAAACTCGCTGGGGAGGTAACTGCGCCGGGGAAGAGGCGAGGGCATCGCGCCTTCAAAGTGGACCCCAGAGTGGCTCAGGTAAGTGAAAAGAAAAAGGGCCGGTGAAAAGGGGAAGCATCGATCATTACTCCTTTGCTCCACCCAGCGTTTTTCTCCTCTTCCTTCATTTCCCCCAAATGAGCCACATCTGTGCTGTTACTCAGCAAGGGTTTTTATCAGATGGGGGAAAGATCTGAATGAAGCACAACCCTCCTGTTTAGATGAAAATATTTCCCTTTAACACTTAAAGTGACTTCTTATAAAAACAAGCTCTCCGCTGAGAAGAGTTCGCCAGATAAACAGTACTGAGCTGCCCGTGGACTCACACCCCCCCCTTTTCCATGATTTCCTTCATTATAATAAAACCGGCTTTTTTCTCCAAGTGTCATCCGCTGAACATGATCAGTCCTCAGACTAAAGAGACACAATAGTGCAATGAAATTATTTCACACTTTGCAGGCTATAATGATTGTCAGTGTTATTCTCCAGCTGCATTAAATCACTTCCAGCAGTTATTGGCAGAAAGAGTTGAAATACGAACAGCTGACATTTGTTTAACTGATTACGGGGATAATTAGGTGTAACTTTCATATATGGATAAAAAACTGTAACTTTAAAGTAATCGATCCAAACACAATCACTGATACAGGCCAAAACATGCACCTCCTAAGTTCATCAGGGGAAAGGAAAATTCTCTGACACTCTATTCAGCTTATATAGTAGATTAGCAAGACTTCTTAGCAACATATCGACTTCCTAACAATCCTGTTCCATGGCAGTTTGGCCCACCCAGTAAGCTCACTTGCAGGAGAGATTCTAGACTTCACAGCAAAGGAATTACAGAAGTTTTGAAACAGAGTTGGGGGAGAAAAAAAGAACAGATTCGGATTCAGAACTAGATCAGAGTTTCAAATAATAACAAAGATGAGAGAATCCTAGGAGAGGAAATATCTGCATAAAAATGGCACAGAATCACCACTGCCTATATATAATGTGGAAAACCAGATGTTGAAATTAAATCAGGGTCTTCCTTTCCAGCCCTGAGTTCCTCCTTTCTAGTTTTTATAACAACGAACTCCCCGACCTCCCACTAATTTTCATCCCATATCTTTGGGGAAAAGACCAATACTATTAACCTGTTGATTAAAAAAAACATAGGAAAGTGTTAGGATCTACATCTTTAAAAAATCGAATGGTAAAGTTCTGTTCTGACTTAATTGTACTTAGAGCACATAAGTGATGTTTAACAACATTTTTATGATGATAGGTCTATGCTTCTGAGATATATTGGTTCTAAGAAGATATGTGAATAAACACAAGCCATTTACATAAACCATTTGAAGTCTGTTGAGCCCTAGGATAGGATTTCTGGTCTATACTACCTATCTGCCTTAGTATGTGATATTGTGTGTAATATTTAACCTGTTTGAGCCTCAGTTTTTTCACTTAAGAAATTAGGATAATAATTATTATGCTTTTTAAATTTTGGAATAAAAGTTGGGGAGACCTGTACAAATTAATAACAACAAAAGTCTAAAAAATATACATTATAAAGCATTTTAGTAGAAAGGCAGTTGAATCAAACTCAAAATATAAAAGGATGGCAGTGAAGAGAGTAAAATAAGAAAGTAATAAAATTATATTTGACTGTAAGTCTATGCTGCAAAATTTAATAGTCGTCACATAGTTAGCATTATAATTTAGATCTCTGAAACTGTTTTATATTAGGAGTGCTGTGAATGAGTATTAGTCAAATAATAGAGTGCCATAAACTTCTTGGCAAAATGATGTGACTTGTTATCATATCATCTTTATTTTTAAGATAAGAGCATAGACAATTCATTTTCCAAAGGTTGATTTTATTTTTTATATAAGATATAAGGTATTAATGAAAATGTGGTACTTTACATTCACAGGCCCAAGTTCATTATATCCATCATCTCCAGTCTGCTCTAGACTATTTCATTGAATAACTATTTTAAAACAACCTCTGGGGCCGGATGGCCTGGGTTTCTTACTATCCCTCCAGTTTCCTCATCTGCAAGATGAGGAAAATCTGTCTACCTCAGGACTGCTGTCAGGATTGACAGAATTCCAAATACTTAGATCAGGACCTGATAAATAATACCTAATTGCTAATTATTATTTATGAAACTCATTTTAAAAAGTGCATATGGATTCACACCAGTAAGAAACAGATTTGTTGGTATTGGTTTAAGATGTACCCTGCCAGGGCTGAGGTAGTTCATTATAAGCTAAACCAATCTAAAGTTTGACTGTTTTTTCCAGCTTAAATTTTATTTGAGGTTAAAGATGTAAGAGCATATTGCCTTATTGTTATATACTAAAAATGCCGAGGGTTAACACTAATCTGATCAAATGCAATAACCTTGTCATCCCAAATAAAGGCAAAGAATAACATTTATTGATAACACGGTGCAAATGAAACAAAGGAAAGAAAGAGACTGGGTGCAAAAGGCTCTCAAATTCTTAAAGGCTTTACATTTTCTGCTCTGATTGGCAGCATTTCTGTTAAGAGCTACTTCGGTGTCAGACAAACAACAGAATATTTATCACAAGCTGTGACAGCGGACAGCGGAATGGAAAGCACACTGAATTCGATTTCAATCGGAGAGACTGAGGAGCACCGATTGCGATAGAGAATCTCGCTGCTCGCGCAAGGTTTCCCTTCCTAAAGGGCGTCAGCGCCGGTGTCCAGGCCGGGCGCTCCAGCTCCAGCGCAGCGCCTCCCCTCCCCGGCCCAGGACTCGGGAGGGCGCTCTACCCGCGCGGCTCGCGTGCAGGCAGCGGGAACGACGACGTCGGCGCCTCCCCTGCACGACGTACGGTCCCGAGGCCTCCCTGGCCCTGAACTCAGTGCGCAGCCCCTCAGGCACCGCAGCGCGGCTGCGTCGGCCGCGGGCCCGGCGCTCTCTGGGGTGCCGAGAAGCACGTGGACCAGGCCGTCACGCCCGAGGCGGCTCGCTGCCCAGGATCAAGTGTGCGCCCCGCTGCTGGCTTTCCCTGCCCTTTTGCGTACACAGAATTTCATTTTCATTTCAATTCAGAATCAGCACGTAATCTTCTGGGAGACATTTTTAAAAGGCCGTTAAACTCAAGGTCGTACTGACAACGCACACAACCCCGCGGATGACGACCACGTCGGAACGGCCACGTCCAAATCTGCGCATGCGCGCCGAGTGACCACGGCTTCCCAGCGATCTCAGGTTACAACCCAATTTCAGAACGCTAAAATGTGAAGGAATAGGCGTATTGGAGTCGTTGCAGTGTTGTATTGCTGTTTACAAGCATGAATTAAGGTCGAAAATTCACTTTTGCTTTTTTTTTTTTAACTAAAAAACTAGTAAGTGAAGACATGTGCTTTGCTAAAAATACAAACTTGAAAAACTTTTTTTTTTTTACTTAAGTGGGATAATCTATTGATAATTATTCTCAAGTTTGAATGTTATGCTTAGCAGTGTATCATGGACTTGTTTCCGTGTCAGTACAGAAGCATCGAGAGCTATTTTGGTTTTTCTAAAATAATATGGTCAGAGGCGGATCCAGGTTTTGTGGGGCTTACAGCTTATACAAATAGAGGGACCCCTTTTAAGAAAAAGATTTAAAAATTAGATATGGAAGTGAATATTTTTAGATGAGAAATCGCAACAAATTACACATTTTGGAAAGCTGACAACACAAATCATCGCAAAATTCAGAGAAATAACATAATATTATTAATGAATAGTACCAATACCCAGCACGCATATATATTGCTTTCCCTTGCATTGGGGGGGGGAAGGATATACTTTTTTTTATTACTTCTTCATATGACAAGGATTCTGTCAAAATTTGATCTGAGGTAGAACTTCGATTAATATCAGCACAAGCAATTTTTTTACTATTACGGATTTATTTTATGGAAAATTAAATCGATCCAAAATTTGTAAGGATGTAGAGCACTTGGGAGAGGTTGCTTATATTTAATTCTATTCAATGTCAGTCAAACAGCACACCCCATAGAATAAGATGAGGTATTTAGTTCTGGTGATGAAGGCAAGTCAAAACAAACTGCCACTTCTCTAAAATATTTGGTTGGATATTTTATTTTTGCTGAAATATGTGGGTCTGTACCTCATTTCTCTATGAAAATTTGGTGTGACCTCCAGATTTTTACTATTAGTATTTGGCTTTTCGTTAACACAAAGATTAAAGGATCTTCATTTGCACTGGGCATCATTCATTGCTTGGTTAGTACCATCCTGTGTGTTGGCCAAACTCAGATGTTGGAGAGAATTAGTTAATTTTATATTTATGTATATTTCCATTAATATACACAACTTGGGCCAGTAGTAGTATTTATCACCTCGTATATATTTTTTGTTTGTAAAATTGCTTTCTTAAAACAGTATAAGAATACAAATGAAAATAAAGGAACACGTAGGGGTTATTTGACTATGATACAGCCTCACATAACTTGGGCCAGTGGTAAAAGTTCATGGGCTTTATTTAGTATGTGCTAAGCTGTCACTAAGTTCTCCCTAATCTATCCTTGTATTAAATACTTACATATTTAGTGAATTAAACAGTGAATGTGATGAATCTCAAGGGTTTTAAAAAAATATTATTTATTTATTTATTAGCACGAGTGGGGTGAGGGGCAGAGAGAGAAGCAGACTCCCTGCTGAGCAGGGAGCCCAATGAGGGGCTTGATTCCAGGACCCTGGGATCATGACCTGAGCCAGAGGCAGACGCTTAACCGTCTGAACCACCCAGGTGCCCCTCAAAGTTTTTTTTTTAATAGTAGTTTGAATACTGTACATGGTTATATCTTAATTTAACATGACCAACCTAAACAAATTATTGAATTACACATTTTAAATTAGAGACACAGGCCATCACTCTAATAGGCCAAATTCTCTTATATGTTACAAGTGTATAAAATCTGAAATACACACCGGTTCCTGCTTGCCAGACAGTAATGCTATGGATCACATGCATCATGTCCTTGGGTGGAAATCTGCACACACTACCTGCTGCTTCTGTCCATTTGCAGAGGTTGGTGGCACTTATCTGGGCCGATTACTTGGATTTTGTATTTTGACTCTATAAAATACATAATTATATTTTTACTTCTGTAATGTTTAATTTCTATCTTCTCTACCTTTTAACTTAACAGGATTTTAAGACCTTTGCAAATGCCTTTCAAACTGGTTTTAAAAATCATTGAGTTAGGGCGCCTGGGTGGCTCAGTTGGTTAAGCGACTGCCTTCGGCCCGGGTCATGATCCTGGAGTCCCGGGATCGAGTCCCGCATCGGCTTACTGCTCGGCGGGGAGTCTGCTTCTCCCTCTGACCCTCCTCCCCTTCATGCTCTCTGTATCTCATAAAAATAAATAAAATCTTTAAAAATAAAAAAAAAATCATTGAGTTAAATGGTATCTTGCAATTTTTCTATATTCTTAAGAAAGACCATAAAATGCTATGGATATTTGAAATGGTATCTGATTGAAATTTGGTGATCTTGAATGTCTTTGTCCAATTTGCAGTCACAGCTTATGGGATCATTTTACTGGCACTCTCCCTTAAGCCAGAAAACACTTTTTAATTATGTATTTAATATTTACTAAATTCTATATTTTTCACTGATAAAGTAAATGAATCAAAATAACATCATATTTGAATAAAGGATTCAAAAGTAATACAGGCTATTCAGTTCACCACCTTATTCAGCTTTATGCTAATTTTTCTCTTGTATATCATTATGGACTCATGGCTTTTCAGAGATTCAGTGTAATCTAACCACCTGCAACATTCATTGTCTTTTATTGCTCAAATTGATGCACCCCTGGGAGTTACAACACTTGTGTTCTTTTGACACAATCCCATTAATCTGCATTATTTCTTGTCTACTGGTACAACAAATTGCCCCAGGCTTATAACCTACCCTACCCCAGACATGGAATCAGCCATTTCTCCAGGGTATCCTGGAAAGATGGGAAGAGAAATCATAATAGTGAATTTTACACATTAGGTTCATTCTCTTAGGCCGTTCTTCCCAGCTCATTTTAGCTGACAGAATTGGGAAACATATACTTTTTTTTTTTTAAAGCATGGGTTCATATTGATATTTCTAATTCAGTTCTAACATTATAGTTTCTAATTAAAACATTTTGTTTTTATAATTTCCTTCCCCTTTCTCTTATACTTAAAATCTTGTTTACAAACAAAATTAATATAATTATTAATGTCTTCTGATAAAATTATTAAATAAAGTTTAAGATTTTTTTGCAGTTATTGATATTTCTAATTAAGTTCTAACATTATAGTTCCTAATTAAAACATTTTGATTTTAGGGGCACCTAGGTGGCTCAGTTGGTTAAGTGTCTGCCTTCGGCTCAGGTCGTGATCCCAGGGTCCTGGGATCAAGCCCCACATCAGGCTCCCTGCTCAGCGGGGAGCCTGCTTCTCCCCCTCCCTCCTGCTTGTGCACTCTCTCTCTCTCTCCAATAAATAAATAAATAAATAAATAATCTTTAAAAAAATAAAACATGTTGATAATTTCCTTACCCTTTCTCTTATGCTTAAAATCCTGATTCCAAACAAAATTAATACAATTACTAATGTTGTCTTACAAAATTATCAAAGTTTAAGATTTTTTTTTGCAGTTATTTTTATCCTTATACTTAATGCCACTAAGGATGTGTAGCCCAATTATTTTCTGGTAGAGTCATTCATAATAATTCATTCTGAGTCTTTGTAATTACATGTATCACATACATATATCATATGTGATTAGTATGATTTAGTTTGTTTTCAGTTCTGTGAGGTTATCAGCAATTTTCTTAGAAGGTGGTGGCTTTCAGCCAAGACATTTTCTTCTTATGTGATATTCAAATCCTGGAGGATGGTAGAAACCAATTATCAGCCTACCTTAAGAGATGAGAAGTAAAGGGCGAATCAAGCAAATGAATTTCCCAAATTCTGTATGAAAGTTTCATTTAGCTACTGGCTGGTCTTTATGAGATGACCAAATGTAATAGATGCATCTGATTCATATGCACAAGTTCTGGTTGGGCAGCCTAATTCTGTCTTCTGTTTAATTTCTGGCAATATTAGAACCTACATATTTTCATACATCCTATTAATATTTAATTTAGTAAATATGAGATGATATTAAAACCTTTAAAATTTATTATTCTTTTTTAGCTCCCTTATCTAATAGGTAACATTTTTCCACCAATTTAATAATACCACATTATACCCAAATTTACAATGTATCAAATCCAGGTGATTCTCTAAGTTAGTTTTATCCCAGTCCAGTACCAAAATCTTTAATTTTCCTCCAGGAAGATTTTAACAAGGTACATAGTATCTTAGAATTCTGTGTTAAGAAAGGATGCTGTGTTAGTCCTGCTCTTCTGAGGAACAGATAGCAAGACAGGATTAGCCACACAAGAGACTTACTAAGGGAACATCTCTGAGGGAAAATGAGGAGGGAGCTGGGGGCAGCTGGAGAGCTGTCCGCTTGTGATGTGAAGGACAGAGGGAGAAAAGGAAGGTGCGGTGCAAGAGTTTTAGCCCATAGTGTAGTCCCTGTAGCATAGTCCTAAGAAGGTTCAATATGACGGATGAGGAGTCCTCAAGTCAAAGTTGTCCATTAGAGGAAGCCCATGTCTCCTGGAAAGGGGCTGGCTTTTGTGTCCCTGGGGCACAGAGCCACTGGCTGGGAGCAGTGCTGGGAAGCCTGGCTTCATTCAGTACAGACATCATGGTGGATTTTGGAATAAGTACAGCTTACTCTGGGGCCATTGGCCAGTAATACTTTCTGCATTTAGGGATCTGAGAGACACATGTTCATGGCCACCACAGATAAAATATAAGCTTTAAAGATTTTGTCTGAGAGCCTCTCTACTTGGGTCAAAATTCTGATGTCACATTGAACATAATAATTACTATCCTAATTTTTAATTACAGTGTAGAATTCCAGTTTTAAGAAGCCTTTGCATAAGTTATATTTCTTTTTTGAGGTTAAGACCATGCTTTTAAAAAAATAGATGTATTTGCTTAAAACCCATTCTTATTTTAGCTTTATACGAATACATACATACTTATACACATTCAACCAAAGAAGTAAACACAAAGTTGTATATATAATCGAAGCAACAGAACCCTTAGAAGTTTCCAAGCAGACCATTTGATAATTACAGCACCCCAAGTGCTTTTTG